TCACAATGTTAAATAAACACACAGATGCACCTTCATATGCCTGCCATGCTCTTCCTCTGACAGGATAACCACCTAATTTATTGTTCAGATTGAGGAACTTCTAAGAGATTAAAAAAAAAGCTTTATTTATAATTAAATTGGGAGACAATAAGCATAAACAGGAACTTTCTCAAGCACACTAGAAATCTGGTCACTTGACTCAGTCTCATGGATTATTCTCTCATTTTCATTTAGGTCTTTATGAAATGCCACTCTCTTGGTGAGGGCTTGACCTCCATTAAAAATTGTATTACAGGGTGTGGGGAGTGTGACTCAGTGGTAGAGCAGTTGCCTTGCATGCACAAAGTCCTAGGTTCAGTTCCCAGTACTGCAGAATGAATGAATGATTGAATGAATGAGTCACATTCCTGTCCCTAATCTACAATGCCCTCACTGATTTATTTTTTCCTCATGGCACTATCACAGTCTGACAGAGAGTGAGTTTTGATCAGCTGTATGTTTTTTGCTGACCTCCCCTCTAGAATGCAAACCTCAATTCCCTGCAGGGATTTTTATCTTTGGTTCTCTACATGATACCTCTGGTCTCCACATAGTCCTGAACACCATAATAAATCAGTGTTTATTTATTATGTGCATGTATGTTGATCAGTGCATGTATGTTGAATTTGAATAGTTGTCAGAGGGGAGGACATGTTTCTTGAACAGTCTTTTCCTAAATTGTTTTTCTTATTCCTTTCTATTTATTTTGGCAAATCCTTTGGCAATTGAGACCATAGAAGAGTTTTCTATCCTAAGAGAAGCTAATAATTAATATTACCATGATACCGTAATATGTGGACTCTCTAAGGAGGGATGTTTGAATCCAGACCAGCATATTTGCAAGAGGGAAGAGAGGACTTCTTACCTTTAGGGAAGCGATGTGTCTGGGGCCCTGCCCTGGAAGTCATGATACTGTGACTGTCAGTGCCAGGGCCTTGATCTGTGCCAGAACCAATTACCTACTCAGTGGTCACTTGCTTTCCCTTGCCCTTGGTCTCTTAAATCTGTTCCCAGATTGAGACCCATATTTATAAGGTGAGCAGTATATCATGTTGAACTTTTCCTTAGCCAGGATTCTAAATGTTTCTTTTCTGAAACATTCTCAGAGGAAAGAAGAGATAAGACATGGGGTGAGAGACAGAACCCACCCCCCCCCCCCAGATTAGTTGAAAGTGGTCATTGGGACTCCTCTGGACTGACTTGTTGAAGATGGATTACAGTAGGGACAAGAAGAGGAAATAAAGTGCCCTGCAGGATTTCTATAACTCTGGTTTTCCTAAAAAGTTTCTGATATGCCTGAACAGCAGTGGCCAAAGTCCTTGTGAGCTGGAGACAGGAGAGTAAAATAGATCATAGAGATGTGCACAGAATATAGCCCTTATGGCTTTTGAGAAGTCATGATACCACAAGTCAGTATTGAAGAAGTACTGAGTTTAAGCAAATGTAGCCAAGAATCTAAAAAGGGAAACCTTGAGGAAGTTCCTGATTCCTCATTATAGTTTCACTTATTTTGGAGCCAAAAATCTTAAGCAAAACAGTTGTGTGGTAGAGAAAGTCACTTTGCAAAATAAAAGGAAATTCCCTGGTGTAACCTTAATTTAGAAAACAAAGTCCTTTGCAATCTCAGCCTTCTAGTCGCATTTCCAGGAGACTAATCCATGTCCTATCTTTTCACACCTCTATCATCACTCACAGTCTAACTTTGCAAGGCTTACCTTAATGTCACCACCTCTGAAGCTTTTCGCAGGCCTCTCAGTCAGAATTTATCACTTTGTTCCCTGGGTTTCTCTTGCCCTTTGTTTGTTACAGCAAATTATTTGAAAAACCGGACCAAGCAGCATATATCTGCCTATCTCCTGAGTGCGAACATGAGCTCTTAGAGGCCAGACTCTTATTTATCCTTGTATTGACCCAAACCTTTCTGAGCAACGACCAGCTGATGCATTCATTCCCTCTCCCCCTGCTCCTATAGTGCCTCACACATAGAATCCAGTGACTTTTTTTTTTTTTTTTTTTGCTGGCTAAAATTGACTCTGGTTTAATCAAATGAATGGGTTACACAGTAGACTAACCTGACTCTTCTTCCCCTCCCACTCTGGGCAGTGACCCGCTTGTGGCTGGTACACCGTGCTCCTGGCTCAGTCATACTTACCACAGGGGACACTGTTTGCTTGGCTTAGTCTTGACTTCAGCATTGTCCCTTTGATCTCTGCCGCCTGCCCCACCTTGCCCCCCACCATTGTCCTGCCCTGGGAACTAATGTTTCTCATTCCCAAGCTCAGGCCTCCCCAGATCTTTTCCATGACACATTCTAAGATGACATCAAGAAATTAGTTAGGCTGGGGAGTAGCTGCAGTGGGTTTCAGGGTATGGCCTGCCAGCCCCCAAGAGTTCTAGTTTGGACCAGCTCTCTCCTTTTTATCTGCTCACTTTTTTTCTTGTCAACTTAGGGATGGTATAAACTGTGATGTGAAGGGTTGCCAGTTGTGATCCTGGGAGAACTTGGATTGCCATTTTGACTAAAATCCTTCTGTTAAGAGAAGTAAATAGGGGAGTGATTGTATATGTGCCCTGAAGCCAGTCTGCCTGGATTCTAATCCTGCTCTACCACTTACTAGTTGTAATCACAACTTAGCCAAATGGGGTCATTCATTCATTCATAAATAGTTATTGACCCATTCATTCATAAATAGTTATTGACACCCCCCACTCCAAGGTTGCTCTGGATGCTAGGAAAATAGTAGTGAAAAGATGAAAATGAGTTAATACATTTAAATTACTTAGAACAGTCCCTAACATGTTGTAAGTACTCAGCAAATATAGTAATATTCTGTTCCTAGTACTTTTCTTAGAACAGATGCTTGGTTGGGATAACCTTTGGCAGCAACTGAAGGACCAGATCTCTCTGAGAAGAGAAGAGATACAGGAAGGGCTAAGTTAGGTTCTAGATTTGAACTTAGGTCCAGGGCAGCACTGGCTTGAATGGCCATTTTTTATTTCTTCTGGCATTTCATTTTAAGGTTAAATACATGAACTGGGTAAAGATATTCCTGGAAATTTTATGAGTCTGATTAGTTCTATAGAAAGGGCAGGAGGAAATGGCCCTGGACCCCTAGATTCTGCCTAGTCCATTTGTATGGACAGCATATGCCCACCCAGCGGTGTATGAACAGCCCTGAGAGAGGCTAGGCTTCTTGAGCAATGTGATGGAGAGCCTAGAGACTGGAGGCAGGAGAGCAGCTGTTTGCCTCTCCACTCCCAGGGCTCTCTGCCTATAGAATAGAGGACCTTGTTTTGGAGGAGGAAGTGACTTGGGGGTTAGAGAGAGAGCTGAACCTGAGAAGGAGAGTGAGGTGGGACAGAGGTGGCAAGCCCTGATAGTTTTCCTCCCATTTCAGGTCATTCCTCAAGGAATGCTGCTGAAGATGTCTAGTGTGACAACTCATAGTGTGATTATTGCTAGAGGCAAAGTTTAGACCCAAGGCTACTGATTCATTGTCTGTGGTTTCCAGTGAAAGTCCAAGCCTTACTGAAACCTGATGTTACATTGCAATAAAAAGAAAGAAAGAAAGTCCAAGTCTGAGATAGTCTTTATGGAGGTAGGGTTGGAATGGAAATGAGCGTACTATTTCTTTAGCTACACCCCACTCTGGGAAAGATCACTACAGTCCTGACCATGGGTCAGCACCTGTTCACTGCTTCTCATACTTCCCTTCTTCCATTCTTTTCCCACAGGGGATTTTCAGAAATGAATGCCTTTATAGCACAGAAAAGGTGTCTTGACATGAGATATGGGCCAATCTCATGGGTCAAGGATTCTTGGGTTGGTTCCCATGTGGGTCGCTGGCATGGCTGCTCTTAGGGACCTGCTCCCTTGGCTCGGAAACATGACAATTGGCATACATAGGGACAGATGAAGTAGTTCTGGGCCCATTCCAAGATTCTGAAGTGCAGCCAGATTTGGAACCACTGGATACCATTCTCTTTCATCTCATTTATATTGTACTTTGTTCAGTCTTCAGCCATTACTTTAACTCAGTTCACCTTAGTATATGAAACTAGAACTAGGCAAAGCATTTTGCTGTGGATGTACATCCCTAGTTCATTACATAGAGAAGTAAAGATAATATATTTATATCAGTGTTACTCCACTTTTTTTTCCTCTTTATCACCTCCCTTGTAAGACATTTTTTCCCTAATAACCCCCTCTCAGGAAATTATAATGTCAGTTATACCAAAACTCTGTAATTCTACCGTATATATACCTATGTAAGATACCTTAAAAGAGTAACTTTTTTTCATCCCTCAAAAACAATTTTTTCGTCTTCAGGCTTAAGATATACTTCAGTGATAAAGTATTTGCCTGGCATGTATGAGGCCCTGGATTCAATTCAGACCATGAAAATAATATTTCCCCCCACTGAGGGTGCATAGATTATATAAAACGGCAAGCAGCCCTCCAAAGCTATGCCGGCTTCGTTTCCCATCTCCTCTACCTGGCATCATGGCTCCATAATTTTTTCTTAATTTCTCAGTTCGTCAATCCATTTTGCTCCCTCTCCCTTCTCCTGGATTTAATCCTTTTTCTCTTTCTAGAGTAGAAAGTTTTGTTGTAAATTTAGGTAAGATAGTGATTTGTAGAATTCAGAGACAACTTAAGGAAGGTGATTTCCTAAAACAGCTAAGAGGTCATTCCTTTGGAAGAAAGATTCTAAAGATCTTTGGAATATTCATGGAAAAACATAATAAACCTAATGAATGGAGGAAATAAATGCCTAGAGTTGCCTTTCAGAGGAGAAGGTCTCCCAAGAATTGTTATCAATAGGCTTGATATGGATATGCTGTATTGGATCTAACAATTTTATATAAATTCATTCAGGGAGGGTTGATGTGAGTTCTGTCATCTGGATGTCAGATTCCTTTTCTCTGGCCATACAGTGACAGTGTCTCCTCTCTTGTAGAAGCTACCAGAGGCATGCAGAGTTGGTAATGGCAGGCCCTTTGTCATGCATCTGCAGAGTCTGTATGTTGCAGTCACCAAACAGGAGGTCCAAATGGGACAGAAGCATCAAGACACTGGTGAGTAGCCCCAGACATACCTGGTCTGCCTAGGGTTAGAGCTGGGGTGAAAGTTTGTGTTGCCCAGTATGATAGCTCTAGTTACATGTGGCTTTTTAAATTTTAATTAATAAAAATAGGGGCTGAGGTTGTGGTTCAGTGGCAGAGCACTTGCCTCCCACATGTAAGTAACTGGGTTTGATCCTCAGCACTACATACAAATAAGTAAACAAAATAAAGATAGTGTGCCCATATATGATTAAAAAATTAAAAATAAATTAAATTTTATTTCCTCCTATGCTCTAGCTACATTTCAAGTGCTCAGTAGCCACATGTGGCTACCAAGTTGGATAGTGCAGATACAGAACACTTCCCTCACTGCAGAAAGTTCTCTTAGGTGGCACTGGCATAGATGCTTAGGAGTGAGCAAGAGAATCAGTGGAAAGGTTAGTTTCCCTAGTAAGAGACATCAGGTAACAGAGAGAGGAACAGTTGGCTCTTTCGTGTTAGGAGAACTCTTATCCTGCCTGCTGAGAGTGGGCCTGAGAAATCTTTGTAGAAACAGAACAGAATCTTCTGAAAATCAGCTGGATTGGATTGTGRCTTCTCTGTTAATTGTACCAATAGTACCAAACTCTGGCCTTTATCTGAATGTTTGGTAAATGCTAATGTCCTTCTAGTAAGATGGCATTTCTCACTATCCTTTCTTGATCCTTCTAGTTTCAGGAGATGCTCATACCTCAAGCAGCACCTCCCTTCAAGCTACTGATAACCAGCTTCCAAGTCAGCCAGAACAGCCAGTCTCTTCAGCACCAGCCCTCTCAGTGCTTGAAAAAGAGCCCCTGGTGAGTGGCAAGTAGCTTCTTGGATGGCATTCCATGCACTGAAGGAATTGGCCCCTGTAGCCCTCGAAYCAGTGGTCCTTACAATTGCTGCCTCATTGATGCTGTTTCTATATTATTAAGGGATATTTGTGAGCAGACTTCCAAATAATGGAGAGTTCTTGTCTTTCACATCTTCCCTTGCTGTCTCCTCTCTGCCATTCTTGTGCTGAGTGATGAACCTTGACTCCTTTTCACCTTAACCCACTTTAGGTAATGGTCTGTGAGGTTGTTCCTGGAGGAGAAAGAACATGTCTTATATCACATTTAGTGCCTGATGCAGATTTCAAAATACCCATGTCAGACATTTCAAGGAGGCCTCATCCTAACCAGGAGCCAGGAGAGGAAGAAAGTCCCTTTTCCAATGTCAGTGGGTCTGTCTCAAAGCCTCTATTAACTTGGGTTCCTTTTTATCTAGGATACTGCAGGCCCTATGCAGAGAACTCAGCTGTCAAAGGTCAAGAGGAAGAAGCCACGGGGCCTCTTTAGTTAACCAGTCATGAGCTCAGCTGCTGAGGATGCACCAGAAGAACAACTCCCAAACATCACATGGAAAGGAGCTCACATGGCAGTTTCTCTCAAACAGAGTTACAATCAAAGGTCCACTCTCAGAGCAAGAGAACTAAGCTCATGGCGACATGTTTCCTGAATGGGTTACTGTTAAACAAGAAAAGCTTATTGCCATCCCATGGAGCATTGGCCTTCCCTGGTACAGTGGAAGCCAGTCTCTGGGATCCAGTCTCTTTTGGTGGAGGTTCTTTAGACTTTAGGATATAGAGCAAGTCTTCAAAAAGGAACGGTGTATCCAGGAAGCCTATGTATTCCTCTTCTGAGTCCCTAGCCAGTCCCAGATACTCCCCAGAGACCCACTTCTCTCTTTAGCATAGAATTAAAAGCACAATCCCTTATGTTTGAGATATGTATCCGTGGAACTCAACCCACCTCACCTCACCTCACCTGTTGTCCTCTCTGAGTGAAGTCTGTGTCCTCAGTCCAATCCTTCAAATTTATCTTTAGCTTCTCTGTTGTAGTCTGAGGTAAGACTCCATTTCAGAGGTTTTGATCTCCAGAATTCTTTCCAATAAGCACAAGATAAGATACACTGCTGGGCTGGGGAAATAGCTCAGTTGGTAGAGTGCTTGCCTAGCATGCACAAAGCCCTGGGTTCAATCCCTAGCACCCCCCCCCCAAAAAAAAAAAACGCTGCTGCTCTCCTTTGCCAATTGGATGTGTTTTCTGCCTGCTTACAAGATCTAAACAACAGGTTAAACCACAGTGCAATGTTGAAATTACAAAGAACTTTGAACACTAGGGCCAAGGTAGGTTCTCATGGGTGGGAGAAAAATGAATTTGACTTCTTCATTCTTCACTCCACTTTAGATAACATACTAAGTAGAGAACTAGGATAACAGAGAATAGGAAGTGACCCAAGAGTTCCCAAGGACAACAGAATTGGCCTGTAGAACTTTCCTACCAGGAAAGAGTGTGAAGGCATAGGAAACAGGCAGAGTCTGAGACAGTTACCTCTTGAACACCCCAGGACTGGCACAGTCCCTTGACCTTCTCTGCCAGGTCTTTCTCAATTGTAACATTATCTTAAACTTCACCTTGAAGGCAGAGGAATGAAAGTCAGCCTTAGACTGGGAATCCCAGCTTCTTGAGAGACTGAAGCAAGAGAATCATAAGTTCAAGGACCATCAGTTCATGGCCTGCCTGGGCAACTGAGTGAGACCCTGCCTCAAAATAAGACGTAAAAAGGATTGAAGATGTAGCTCAGGGGAGAGCACTTGCCTAGAAAGCACAAGGCCCTGGGTTCAATCTCCAGTGCCTCCCCCAGTGAAACACACACACACACACACACACACACACACACACAGTAGAACTCAGATGTTCACTGGGAACCCTGCAGTAGCAGGTGGGAGAATGCAGAGGCCTTTTCTGGTGTGTTTACTTTTGCTGGCCTCCTTGTCTGTGTTTCCTCTCTAGCTGGGTTAATGTTTCTGCATTGATGTAGCCCACGGAAGGAGGACCATTCAAAGAATAATAAAGTACTAGTTATTATAATAAGAACATCAGCTATCATTTATTAAGCCATTAAAATATATCAAGTAGTCTGTCTAATAAGTGCCTGACATTGAAGCCTCACAACATCTGGGGAAGATACTGTTCACTCAGTCGGAAATTTAGTCTTTAGGTGATTGAGTGACTTAGCGAAGGTCATGCAGCTAATAAGTGACAGCAAGAATTTGAACTAGGGGCTGGGGATGTGGCTCAAGCAGTAGCGTGCTCGCCTGGCATGCTTGCAGCCCGGGTTCGATCCTCAGCACCACATACAAACAAAGATGTTGTGTCCGCTGAGAACTAAAAAATAAATATTAAAATTCTCTCTCTCTCTCTCTCTCTCTCTCTCTCTCTCTCTCTCTCTTTAAAAAAAAAAAAAGAATTTGAACTAGGACTACTGAATTCTTAACAGCATTATTACAGATACACTGAAGACACTTTTTGTTTTTCTTCTTCTTTTTTTTTTTTTTTTTGCAGTACTAGGATTGAGCCCAAGGAGGCTCTACCACTGAGCTAGATTCCCAGTCTTTTTTGAGACAGTCTTAAGTTGCCAAGGCTATCCTTGAACTTGTGATCCTCCTGCTTCAGTCTCCCAAGTTGCTGGGATCACAGGTGTAGTTGCTGGGATCACACCCAGCTCTGGAAACACTTTTTCCAGGAGTGCTGTTGGGTCTTCTTCCAATTTGTATAGTACCCACCTTTATCCTACGACCCTGCCTCCTTCCAAGGGACGCTCCCCTCCATGTGGGTTCTTCAAGGCAGGAAGCTTTGAGCACTCCAGAACTCATGCCCTTGTCTTTTCCTGCCAACAGCTTTTGAGAGGGCCACCAAGCATCCCAGTTGCTAGTGATAACTTCTCTTTACCTCCAGACCATAGCACCCCAGTGCGTGCCCACCAGTAATGACTATCATCAAAGCAATTTGGAACCTGTGTGAAAAACAGCGTATCAGCTGGGTCACCTTGTTCTCTACTTTCCTTTTAGCATAAATCAGATAGCCAGATTTTGGAGTTTTCATGATATAAGACCACATAAAAAAGGGAGGCTTTCCCAGCAAGCTTGGAAAAAAATAGGAGTTCTTTCACTCTGGATAAATCYCTCTGCCTAAGAGCAAAGTCTCAAGCAGGCATTTTTAATCACGGGGACAAAGGGCCTATGACTTTCCTAAAATTGTAAGAAAAATCCTTAGAGTATAACTTTCTTCATTTCTTATAAGATGTCATGACTTTTTTAAAAAGTTAAGTAAGTTTATGCCTGAGAACCTTCCTGTCCACTACTCCTGCATTCTCAAAGGTTGCTCCCTCCTTGAGGGCATTTCTTAAATGCATCCTCAGGGAAACATCCCTGCTAGAGGCCTTGCCTTGGGTATCCTTGCCCTAGGGCCCTTACCCAAGCTAGGGGTAGTGGTTGAGAATTATTCTTCCAAGGAAATCACTGCTTTGACAAATTGGCCCAGCCAGGCTGTATTCCAGCCCTGCCTCCTGGCTTGGGCCCCTCCCTGAGGCCCCCAGCCTGGCCCAACCCCCACTCCAAATGCACATAAAAGGGTCGAATTCTCGTGGCTGCTCCATAAATTTTATTCCGTAAATATTAGTTTTCCCTGTGTTTAATAAAGCAGTGGCCCACCTCCCCGCCTACCCGCCCGCTCCCCGGGGCCGGGGCTGGGGCCAGGGCTGGCTGGTGGGAGAAGGGACTCTTTCAATTGCTTTGGAGTATTTTTAGAAAAAAAAATAATATAAGGTGGTTTACACGAGCAAGCCAGCAAACCAGGAGCAGGACTTGGGACCTCGAGGAAGTTCCTGCAGCAACTTGATCTAAAAAGTAGAGAAATAGCGCCACCTAGGTTGCAGGGTCTACTTGGCCTTGCTGGCTAGTCCCAGGGCAGTCAGCTAGGACTGGCATTCTCCTTTCTGGGGGAGAAATCCTCATCTCTGTGCCCCAGCTGGGTAGCTCCACCTTATTTCATACCTCATGGGGCTTCTTTCTCATCAACCCTTAAAAGCACAGTCCAGATTGGGTTCTGTATAATCCTGCCAGCGCTTTTCTCTTCTCCCAGATCAGGGTTCCAGGGTATGGTAAAGTTACTGAGATGGAGGAAGGAAGCTTCTAGTCACCATCTTCCCCTGAGACCTGAGGAACCAGAATTCCTAGGGCATAAGGTAACAGGGAGTAAAATCTGTGCTCCTGTGCTCTGGATGGCAGAGTCTATCCCAGTCAGACCAGGATCCTTCCATCAGCCTGCTATGGGGCACCTACCATGATTGGCTGCAGGACACTGGGGGAAGGAAAGATGCCACCTCTTCTGATACTCAACCCTACTGCTTCTTGCTTTTATCCTTTGGTACATTTGGACTCCTTTGCTTTCCTTCCTGTTCATTTAAGCCTTCCTTTCCTAAGTCCTTCCCTTCTCCCTAGTCCAGCTCTGTTGGGAGATATCCAGGAGCCCTTGTGTACTCTGTGCAAAGATGGTGGCAGGAGTAGGGCAACACTTTCTCATTCCTGACAGTGTCACCAGGATAGTTTCTTCTCCTATTTTGTCCCTCACTTTCTCCTACTTTTTTAACTGGGAAGATTTGCTCCAAAGAGTTTAGGGAAGCCTAAATCCTCATAGTAACCCCCATGTGGTGAGCTCACTCTGATCTGTCTTGCTTACCTCTCTCTGTTGTGCTATTAAAGTAATATGTATTAGCAGGCACATTTTTGATTTTTTTTTTGTTTTTCTTCTTTAATTAGCTTATACTCCATGAGAAGAGAGTAAGTTTTTAACTTAACTCAGAAAATATACTGTGATGGTATTCCAGTATAGTACAACGTAGTGTTAGCTGAGTTTTCAAACACTTTGACTCACCTAGGAAGATTGTGCCAGACATGTTTTTCTACACTTTGCCCTGGAGTAGTTTCTGTCTTCTARTTGTCCTGAAGAAGAAAGTGTTCAAAAGGAGTAAATAACATACTGCAAGGAAGCCACCAAACTCAGTGCTCAAGAACCATGGTCACTAATTACTGTTACCAACATTCATACATGTATGAGCTGATAAAATTGTACTGGGTGATACTGGGCCCTTACATACAGAGAAAAATGTGGGAAAGGGAGAAAGCTCACACTTTAAAGGGGTGTTTCCCTATTGCTGTAACCCTTAGGAAGCTTCTAGAGGATATTCCTGTCCAGGGCTCCCTATTGCTTTAGGTCCCTTTCTTGTCTCCTCTGTGATCCTTATCTGTGACCAGGGTCACAGATGATCCCACCCTATGGGAGTGTACCAGCAAGGAAGGTACCAGGTAGCCTATCTGTGTGTTAGGGACAGGGACCCTGGGGATTAGTTCTGTATTTGAGGAGCTGGAAAGTCATACATCTCTCAGTCTTTTATCCCAGAACCCTTTTATGTATACTTTCCATCTCCTGAGAATTTCTCAATGGTCATCCTTTATGCATCCCCTCAGTTTTAGGGTCTCCTTTCCGTACTCTGGCACCTGGGATGTCATTAGATAGCACCAAAGTATTCTAGCAAATGCTCACTCTTCTGAGCTGGTGATTCCCACCCCCACTCAGTTTTCTTATCTGGAACTCAACAGATCTTTTGCCACTATTCACACCCTTGGACCCCTTTGAATAAGTGCTGGTCCCTAAGCACCCAACTCTCATGGATTCCTAAGAATCTGGACCAGCCTACCAGGGGAACCCGGAAGAGGCATTGAAAGAACTCCAGGGTGTGGGGAGC